CACGTCATCTTCTCTCCTCGTACTTATTCATTCTTTTATTTAAACTTTTTTCTTTTTTCGCGATTATTTTTGCCTTTTTCATATTTCCCTTTTGTGATTTTAATTCTTTTCGTCTCTTTTTAATATTTCATGTATAATTTTTTGTTTTTTCTTTATACATTTATAAATTTGTATTTCTTCATGCAACTGTCGTTTTCCCTTTTTGTGCTTTCATGGAAGGAGTGTTCGGGGCTTAGTTCTTCTCCTCTATTCTGATAACTTTTATGGGACTGGGATCATGGAAGAAGTGGTACTTGAGTCTTGCTTACAGCGGTGTTGTTGATGCAGTTTTCTTTAGTCTTTTATAGCTTTGCTCTTCATAATTTACATTTTAAGGTCGAGGTGTACTCCAGGCGTCTGCTGGGTTGAGCTGCTGCCGCGCACCATGTTCACAGGGGGCTGGTGCGAGGGCGATCCTAGCCACTCGATGCCTGATTCACCCGAAAGTCCAAAGTGGTGCTGTCTGATAGGTGAACTTGCACTGGACGCGGCGTATTGCGCAGCACTGTTGGTCTCTCTCGGGCCAGCAACGGCGTTGGGGTGTGGTGGAAGACCAAAATCCGATGGTGGGGGAATTGTTGCTACTAAGTCACTGGACATCGTCAAGTCGTTTGCTGTGTCCACCACATTCACTGACTCCATGTTGTTTACCCACATCAAGGGGGTTTGGTGCACCTGCAGTGTTAAAACCACATCTCTTAACAATACCATGGTCTTTGGAAATTTGTAGTTGGTTTTTTAAGTTGTCGATGCCAATATATGCAACCCGACTCACCTCAGCTGAATATATTTTGCTTCACAGGTCAGTTATACTGAAATGTAATAAGTAGAACTTACGTCGGTAGTGAGGTTCCTTCCGACGTTTGTGTTCTCAATAGCGTAGGCACGATCAGGTGTAGCGAATGATGAATTTCTTCGAGCTACCTGACCGAAGCCTGTATAAGAAAAGCATGTATGTAAACCAATGATTTCTTGCTCAAAAGCATCAATACGTTCCTTAATCAGTGTTCGCGTTTCCTAGTGCTTTCTGAAGCGCCGAACGCACCATCTGCGTCGGATACATTTGTACATGCAAAAAAAATTCCACAAAACTCTTTGCTTAATCACAGAATGCTAAGGACACTAAGTACTTGAAATGCTAATCATGCTCTGAAAGCAGCTCCATGTAGCCTCAGCATTTAATAATTTCATGGGTACCTATTAGACCCATTATAACATCGCCTATCCACACGGAACACAGAAACCAAAATCCAACACAAATCATCTATTTATGTTTTAAGTTTCTGCTAATATCGCTGCTGAATTAATTGGCAGAATATATTTGCGTAATTATTTGTAGCAGTGGAAAAGTCGTCTTTAGGCCCGTAGAACCTAAACTTTCAATTGTCTTTTATAATTAAGTTATGCACAAAAAAAACTACACTTCCGACTAACATATTTTATCGGTTCTCAATGAGTAGATAGAAAGTAAGTTTGTAGCAAGAATTTCGATTCCGCTACGTTTGTCAAAGTCTAACCACTAAGTCGGTGAAGGATCCTAATAGAGATTTAAAACATTTTAACTGGAAACAATTCACACCTGAAAGACCCCTTGAAAATAATTATTAAATCTAGTATTTATTGTAAAAGTAAACATTATCTCTTCGCTTTTTGCAGCCAATAATTTAATATTTATGCTTAAACTTAAGCGCGGTTAAACAAAATCAACAAAATATATTGCCACCCTTCTCCAGCACATAACCGAGTTTCTCCCCTTAATCTATAAGGAACCATTGACCTTAAGGTACAGCTATTCCTGCGATCGTTAAAACAAGCGCTGATTCCCCAGTATTCTAAGTGCAACCTCTCCTCATTCATAGTCCTTCTATTGATTCGAATTCTAACCGTGAAGAAAGTCTCTATAGAGAAAATGAAATTAATAAATATAGTTAACGCTGACATCTGTATTACCTCTGCAATCAAAACACTGGCCTTCTACCACAACTTGAAAGTAATGATAAGGTTTTCTGGCACTGCCCTTTATCAAAAAGTAATAGGCAGTACACTACCAGGTGAAAGCTTAAACAATAGTTCAAAATAAACAGCATAGTACAAATGTATCGGAAAAATAAGTTGCCCTTCGCTACGTGTTTTCCCTTGTTGTATGGATTTGCCACAAGAGAGGTGGATATGTTTCCAAATCTTGCCTTCTGTTAACGTGCCATGGTTCTAAAAAGCTGTTGACGATAACTAAGTGCTTTCAAACCTATTTTCTTCACAAATTTAATAAAATATACTTGAGGATCGCCATTGCCTACCAGCATTCCGTTGGCATCCAGGTTTAAGTATCTCCGCCTAAAGTCTTTGTTAAGAGATCTTAACAGCAACTTTCCTACACCATATTGACCTTCAGATAGTGCTGACCTATCAAAATTGGATGTTTACTATGCAGACTCGTCCTTTTGCTGTATCTTTAACGCACTGTTTCGCATATGCGGCCCCAGGGAGTTACCCGCCCCGGCACTTATGTCAGGTCGTGGCGGTGAGTAGAAGCTGGTGATCATTCTAGGTGACGAGTGGTAACCGAGAGTTGGCGTTACAGTTTGCAGAATCCTTCCTCCGCTACTCGCATAGCTGCCGCCCGCACCTCCCCTACCCTCGGATACCCCTCCAACTGATTTGTCAGTCAGAGAGTGAGGGGAAACTGCGCCTGGCGGAAGACCACCATAGAGGGCTGCAGCGGCAGCGGCGGCACCCAGCGGATCGTCAGCAATGTAACGATGTGGGTTTGGTGCCGCGACGAGGTAGATTGACTGGTCGGGTGGGTAGGCGCAGCCAGTGGCGTTGGTGGTAAAGCATGGATGCCGCTGGTGGGCGGTGAGTTGGTGCGCATGCTCCAGTGAAGAAGGAGTGGTGGGCGGCTGGAGACCGTGTGAGCGCGAGGAGTGTAATGGCGAGCTGGAGCGTGACAGGGTCTGTGAATTTAGCCGATGGTGCTGTTGCTGCTGAGCGTGATGGAGGGTTGTCACATGCTGCTCTGCTGCCGTGATCAGAGCAGGAGAATTGGCGAAGAGATTGAGTGGTGAATCACGCGGGAAATAGGAGCCCGCTGAAGTTATATACTCTGCTGGCATTTGAGGTGAACATTGGCCAAACTGAAGTATGACATTAATTACAAAAACCACTTTGAGCATGTGACACTGATAGATCACATCAAATCAGGAAAAAGTCATCAATTTTGTTTTTCTCTCAGCTTTACAAATAATAATGATCCATATCGATCGCTGAGATCATAACTATTTGGCTTTCAAGGTCTTTCTGTGGAGGAATGGTAGAGGTTAACAATCAGGTAACCTACATGCTCAAATTGGTATTGACTGAGACTGTCCTTTTGGCTAGCTGAATCCATAAACGGTCCAAAGACATGTTGCCCATTGAGGAAACGATCGGGGTAACAATCAGTGGTGGGGTAGCCGTCCATGACACCACACTTAACTAGGCCTGTGAGCAAACAGAGAATAAGAGTTTGTGCACAAATGATTGACGTATATGCGCTCCTCAGGAAATTAACCACGGCAAAACTGTTTGACGGTTTCAAATGCATTCCACATTAGCTAAGAGGCATGTGGAAACCGTTTAATCCCATGGCTGAAGAAGTGAAAAATTAATGATTGAATTAAAGCGCTTTTAGAATACTTATTATTCACACTTAAATGTGTTACTGGAGCAGCCATAATGTGAAAAAAATAAAAAGTGCTATTTAATCTGAATTACCTCAGGCTTTAGTGTGAGAAATAGTGAATTTGGGTGTTAGTGCTGATGATGATGGTGCTGCTTACGAATTTATTTGATAATATAAAAAATAATAACAATTCCACTCGGCCTTCCCAAAACGGTGCATAGTAATTACGGCGCTAATCTCGAAAGCTGATTCTTTACCAAACTATGCAGAATCTTCAAGATTTCCAAGGCACGCACAGCACCTGGATATCTGAAAGGCAGCGCACAGGTGGAAATGACAAATCGCTCTCTCTGATTGTACTACCAAAGGCTTTTATTAAGGATACTCAACCAAAGGGCTAGGATTTAAGCTTTAGACGGGTGTCTCTTACATCAATTAGCTTTTCATTGCTTACGAAGTTCACAAGTCATGAAATGAGAGTAGCTTCTGATATTTTCTTACTAGTCATGGAGATAGCACCCAACCTCGTCCCAGAGTACGTAGTGTGAATAAAAGAAGGGATAAGACGAGCGTTCAACTTCCAAGATCTAGGCAGATTTATCAAAAGATGCTCATTTCCTTCTTTCAAGTATCTCAAGTACAACGGATTATTTTGTGGCTAGGAGGAACCGTATCAAAATGTGTAAATTTTATGAATCATAGAAACTTTAAGACTGACTTTGCCCTTTGTTTGGTAGCTCGTTAAGCGATCACATTCCAGTCACTTGCAGCTTCAATATGCTATTCAAACAATTCAATCCATCAGGGACAAATCTACCGATTCGTAAAACAAAACTCGACAACTACAGATCGTGAAGATGAAAGAAGTTTGCACATTAATGGAATATGAGATACAAGAGAAGGGCGTTACTTAATTGCCTTAAGCACTAAAAAATTGAAGATTTGGGCTTAACAACTTCAGTTCCCTACCTCCAAAGGGGAACGCACCTTCAACCCCATCGAAATGTCAACTTGTTTTGCGCTAAAATGTCAACTCATGCAATAATTCAGTAGGACCAACGCACCCACTCCTCCACCCGCATCCACATACTTGACTGTGCGCACCTTAGGCCTTAATGTAGCCCTAGCACCCGCCAGCACACTACTACAGTGGTCTTTTCATTCACCCATTCACCCTCCTACCTGCTGTCGGAACGTAGGAGTGGCCGGTCTGATGTCGTCCCTACATTGACAGCATTCCTGCCACTGAGGACACCGCCTAATTGTACATAGAACTGCTCCCTTTTAAGCTCTCTCCTGCCATTTTGCGCAATCCAATGGGCCTCTAGGTTAAGGACTTGAAAAGTGAAGCCATTTTGGAAAAAAAAGAGACTACCGCCCATAGCTACACGGGTCAAAATAAAACATCTTGCACTGAGAATATAATGTAAGCAATTGCAGGCTAAAAAAACTCAAGTGGCTAAGTTTTCAATAATATTTTTCTTTGAATTTTCCAGCTTCTTTTACAAAAACCAAACATCAAATGTTGTTCGAGTGGTTAACATCCATTTAAAAGGGTAAACACTTTGAATTGGTGCAATAACTTTCCAAAAGACAATAAAACTTACTCCCAAATATTATCAACATAGGTGCGAACATTCCATCATGCTCCACTGTTTACTAAGTTATAATAAAATTTTCCTTGATAGTATGGGGTGTCCCAAGCCCAAGAGCTTATTACCAGAACGTTGAAATCGTGTTTAATTTGGACAAGTCAGGGTTTTCGGCTCTTGTGCGCTGCCCCTTGGGAAGAAAATATGATGTTTAATTACACGCATACTATATCCAGCCCTCACTATCTTTTAGGGCTGAATTCGGCCGCCACTTTCCCCACTAAAGCAAGCTGGATGGCAGCGACGAGGAAAACACGTTCCGTTTCATCTTTTTTTAGCTTCAATAAAATTAATTTCCCCTTGTCCAGAAGAGGAATTAATTAAAAAGTTAACTACCTCACGTTCTCTTAATTATCTTAAAAACGAGATGCAGATTTCTTAGTTTATACACATTTCATGAGGCCTAAAGGTGTCGTGATGCTCATGATTGTAAAACAAATTAAAATCAAATTCGATAAATTAGGCAGTTTTCTAAAAAATTGCATCGATGGACTTAGCGTGCTGGAAGTGACCCAGTAAAACACAATACTTCGCTGATTTGCAAAAATTTACGCATTTCCTGAAAGTTGCGATCTTTTAATGAATTATTCATACATTGTGGTTTTGGGGTAATTGAAGCGTGCACTAAGATGAATTTTGTTGCATAAATTGACCCATAATAATAACTACAAAGAGAATTTGTCGTGAGAAAAATGGACAGAGTGCTTATTGAGCTAACTACTGGTTCATCAAGGGCAATAGTGTACCAAAAAATACCAGGGAAGGGTTTGTTTACGAAATGCACAAACTCATTGCCTTTGCTGATACAAATGAGTTCAATACAGTTTGTGGTAAATAGAGCATAAAAATGAGGTAAAACCGCTGGCTGCACGTAACCAATATCCCCTTTAACACCAATCAATAGTTAATTAATAGTAAACATACGATATTTTTGCATAAAACTTAGGTAACCACTGCTAATACCTTCAAATATTTTGAAAACTCCCATTTGTTAAACCAAAGAGTTATTCAAGTATAAAATTCTGCGTTTTGGTAAGCGTTTAACTTTTCTTATGTAAAAATAAGAGTTTTCCACTACTTATAATTTTGCTGAAAATTAAGCACGAATTTACCATTGGGAAGTTAGAATCTAAAACCACAGAGACCTCAAAGTAAGGCTAATTGACAGGGTTGAATCCAAGGTCCGGTGAACTGTGCCTATAATGAAGTACTTAATTTAAGCAATGCGGCAATTTAAGAAAATTTATTTAATAGGGTATTCGGAGTGTACCTAAAGGAGCATAAAATTAGAGTCCTAACAGAGTACTCCAAAGAAAATAACGTGTGCTCCACAAGCAATGTGACAATTCAAGACCACGAATTCAATGAGGATCTTCGCAGTTGATCCGAAACCTAAGCCTTGGTGTAGGATTCAGCGAATTTCGCTTAGAGAGTTGAACGGTACCTAGTAAGAAGCTATGGGAGTGGCAATGGATTCATGAATGTGAGAATGACAAAATTTTTATTGCGATTCCCTCCGATTGGCGAGGCATGCTATCACGAAACAACCATATCAGATTAGTATTATCCTCTACTTTGCACACTCAAATAATCGGACAAAATCATCCCTTCTCAGGGTGCTTATAATCTGTGGAGACATTATCTTCATATAGCATGGCATTAACAATGATAATAACAACTTAAAAGAATCCCCAACGAGGATTCAATGAGGAAAGATGAGCAAAGATGTATTTAAGTTCTCTTATTCCTTTTAAAATGTTTTTTCCAAGTTTAAAGCAATCAGATTTTTCACTGATGAAATTTAAAGAAATGGTTGCAGCGTATTAGTTTTACATCAACTAACAAGTTTTTACCACAAGGCGTATCATAAAGCAGCTGATATTAGCGTACAGCTGGTGTATAATGTGCAGCACATAATCTAGCTTAAAGGAAATTAGGGTTAGGCCCTACAATTGATCTCTGTATTTAGTGCTTCCAAAAAAAATTTGTGTTGTACTTTCAAAATCCATCGGATAGCAGTGACCGGTAGCCACAACAGAAGTAAAGACTGGTATCGCCAGTAAAAATGATACTATGACAAAATTGGCAAGAATATTCCTAAATTCACACACTATTTTCCAGTTTCATGTGCACTTTTCATCCATTTATCGATCTGAGACCAATAAATGCCCTCTAGTCTTAAAACCAATGTCTTCTGACATTTTGTTTATAAGTTTTCTTCATATGAATCTGAATTAAAATGAAAACCCAGCAGTGTAACCTACTGTCGGTTCCAGGTATCCGTTTAAGCCGGGAGTCTTTGCGTTGGTGTCTACGATGCAGCACAAGCCCCACAATGATGAGGTTTGTAAGGAAGATGAGGCAGCCAAAGCAAATGGCGATGGTGATTATCATAGAAACGCTGGAAGTGGGGCTTCCACTACCACCATCGTCCTGTCGCGTGATCGAATTGGCGCTAGTCATTTGTCCCAAGCCTAACCCCCGGCCCCCGCCACCACCACCGTGAGCTTCATCTCGCATCGCCTCTTCCGTAGGATCTGAAACAGCTTTGAAAAGGCAAAAGGGCTTTAGCACACTCTCAAGATTAGTAGTATAACAGCCGCTGCTTTAATTTTGTTAATTTCTGGACAGTAAATTCAGTCTAGCACATTGCATTATTCTCACCAGAAGTTGTGGCTTTGATCTTGCTGTTCACGGTGCTAGTATCCAACCCTTTCTTACTACCAAAACAGAGCTATTTTAAAATTCAAGTCATGTAGCCTAAAGTACCTCTATTGTAAATGTAAAATAGGCGAGCGTTGGATCACTATTGCACTGAGCTAGTGTAACGCATGCTTGAAAACGGTAATAATATTTCTTATTGCTTATCTATTTTAAAATGAACAGTCGTTAAGTAAAAGTGTTTGATCCTGTAATTTACATACATAGGTAATTTTTTGTAAGTTAACACTAGTGTCCAACTTGTGACCTATATGAGACCGCCAGGTCGCCTGAGTTTGTTTAATCCTATCTAAACTTTTAATTAAGGGAAGTCTTAAATGCACTAAAATAAGGTGCATGTTTTAAGACCAATAAGGTGTTTTCAAGACGAAGGATTTTACCACTACGCGCAAGTTAGTATTTCAGACATAGGTATTATTAAAGACGAAAGCATTCAACAATTAAACTGATTTTCTGATAGCTAGACTTAACATTTGTAAGGTATTTTGTAGATCAAAAAAGAATATTACACAACATCCGCCCTTGTTGTTTGATTGTTCCTACTTTGCAATGTCAAAGTTTGCTATACTTGTTGGAGCTTATCTGACATTTTGAAGGGGATGCAAGCTGAATGTAATTCGTAATACAACAATCGATGAGAATCTATCAAAGCATCAAACTCAATGCTCTCCCTCCATGTAACTATCTACCCCCATTGGCAAAAGCAAGTAGAGAGGAAAAGAAAAATTCTCAAGAGAAAGAGAAATCCATTTTTGTGCTCAGGATGTGTAGCATTTGGTTGGTACCGACGAACAGGGAGACGGGGAAGTGATAGCAGATCTTTGTAAGCTCACCATCGTCAGCATACAAAACAAAACATTAACTTTCAAGATGCTCGCAGCCCCATGAAAACGTCATTTGTAAAAGTGATCATGCAAATAAGGACTTCCTTGCACTATCCACTTATATCTCCGTTTCTCCTTCTACAGTAAACAAGGGAGGCGCTCAATCCATTTACCAATCAACTCTGAGCGGCAAGTGGACCCTAATTCCCATTATCGTCGGTTGGACATTAATCAGCTGTAACTAACACTAATAGTGATCCCATTTGCTTTAAAATATTATACCCGGCAGAAGTAATATTCAGGCGCAATATGATATTCATTTTACTCGGTGAAAGTATACCATAAGTGGTACGCGAACTTAAGCGACTGTTTTCCACATCAATTGGCAAATCCGTGGCATCTGCTAGGCAGACTTTTAAAATCATCCGAGTTTTCTACCAAATTGGTTATACTTTTGGACAGTTGGGAAGAGAGCTTAAAACGTATGTTAAATTAGTTTTATTTTTTTTAAATAAACAGCAACGAAATTAGAATATGTTAAAAATATATTTCTTTATTTTTCTAATGGAAGCTGGATCTTTTGCACTGGTCCTTTGTAGGTGCATTCAGTTAAGATACAAAACAAGCTCCAATTTTAATATTCATATTCTATGTTATAGTGAAAGTGGTCATCAATAAGAAAAAAAGGTAGTGGATTTATATTTTATTTTAAATTCACTTGTGAAAAGGTTCGAGGTGCAGAAAGAGTCTGATGCCATCAAAGTGAATCACTTTTGCACTTTTGGCACCAGAGCCTATGAAAAAGAGTTTTTACGAATGCCACGACTGAACTAAAGATGTGATATTTTGTTCAAGGAAGGAGAGGGGTATTTCAAGTGTTTTTAGGGTATCCACCCACCAGAACGAAGGAAACATGACGAGGAAAAAGTAGGATTCGACGACTAGACTGATACAAGCTATAATAGCCGCCATCTTAAAGTCATGATTTTAAAGTGAAATGGAATCCATACACAAAGCATAATGTTTTCGATCGTTTAATAAGTCTTTTTTAAAACATTAGGTGTTCATGAAATGGATGAGTTTTATTTTTTTCCTTCGAATTACACTATTTATGCACTGGTGACCCATTGCTCGCAGAAAGCATTTACGAATACGAAGTTCGGCTTACCAACAACTAGTGTGGAAGTGGAATACTATGGGTTTTAATTCATTTAGATGAGAAAGTTTTTTTCTTTTTAAGATTACACACTTCAAACTGCGCAGATCTTAACTCAATGCGCAAAATAAACAAGCCTAAAACAATGAGGGGTGAAGCAGCTTGGAGGAAATGGCGCTCAAATATGCTCATGTATAAAACCAGATCTGAAAGCAGCAAACAAAAACTACCATCATAAGGAATATTGTTGTTAGACAAATCTAGAACACTGATACAACAATTCAGCAGGATCAAAATTTTGTTGTGTTGACTGAAGTTAAACACTTCTTGATTCCTATAAAACCACTGATGACAATGAGTTATTTTTGTTATTATAAAATGCAGTTCGCTTATGTAGTTTGATGGACGTAATGTCAGAACACGCTTAAAGGAAACGCGAGATAACAGAAAGCCAACAGTTGCCTAATTGCATAAAGTGAGGCAACAGGCATCCCTAGGTGAAAGCCGGCGTGTGCGAATATTAAGAAGCATTGTAACACAACTGTTTACTTTTTCCATGATCAGGCCTGAATTATGTTTGGACGCGGACTGCATAATGTAATCGGAATGTCACTTCAACTCACCGGTAGTAGATGCAATGAGATAGTCGGTAAAAGGAGAGGCCTTGTGAAGAGGGTTTTTAGCAGCCACGTAGATACGATATTTTGTGGATTTCAGGAGATCTAAACAGATCGTATTTATGTGGTTAGTAAATGATGCTTTAGTATACCTACACCAAGGCAAAACAGGTTTATACCACGGTAGAGTACTTATGCGTTACTTTATCCATTTATTAAACGAGAACTGTAAGCTGAAATTACACATGAAGGACGGCTTTTTTTCTGTCATGATTGAAGATAGTGGAGCACAAAACATATGCATGACAGGAAGAATGGATATTTCGGAGATGTAATCTAATATGACGTAACGGAAATAAGATGTTATGTTACAAGCTTTCGGTGAAGTGGCAAAATATTTAATGAAGTGGTGGATAATGTTCGTTGATATGGCGTAGGTGACGAGAATTTCCTGCCCATGTATGTGGTTTGTTAATTCATCCTAAATATTGTACAGCTTGGCGTATCACACGGTATGTCTGGTCTTAGTGTGGGATTGTAATGTGCTAAGTATACCGCAAAATCAAGATAAAACAAGTGATTTGAATAAGTTTGGTTGAGAACACTTTAAAAACATAGTCATGTTGATGATTGGATGGGCTTGTGAACTCAATGGGTAAATTGTATTCTTTTCGTAAAGATTAACTAAAAGGAATTAGTTATTACGTAGTTGTTTTTAACTTTTGCTGTTTCCAAAAATGTTGCATCCATTCTTATTTAGCCTCAAGCGGTAGCAGTATTCACGCAAGAAGTTGCACACGATTTACTCAAGCCTTATTAAACACCTCGGTTCTTATTATGCAAAAATTAATGCTCATCGTTCTTGTATTTGACTTTTATGGTATAATTAGCAATATTGGCCATCGGTATGTCCCCCGTCCCTGGGATAAAAGAAACGAGTGTATTCTTTCTCCCGTTTTCCGAGATAACATATGAGTCTCAGGGGATATGCCGAAGCCTGAACACAATCAGGCATGCGTTACGGGCTGCAGAAGTATGACACTTATTGGCCGCTGACAGGAAACCCTCATCCATGTAACCACCTATCCTTTGACATGATTTCTCATGTCTTAAAAATTAATGCTCATAAGACTTTACAGGTGTCTATAACGCTTTGTCAATGGTAAATTTAAGTGTTTAAATTAAACAGAACACAAGTGAGCTGATCTTGCGGGAGGCATTCCATTCAGTTGCTTGAACAATATCCAACTGTAGGTATACTATCTCAATGAAACTCCCCCCTTACTGTGGCCTTATGACGGTGGGCATATGCCTTTTCTTCTATTCCACGTAGGTGATAGATCCTTTTCAAATTTCCAGTAGCCATGCTTAGTCAAAAGATATCGGCGCTGATTTTGATTTATTGCACCGTTTAAGAAATATTGGAAACATACTTTTCGGATTATTTTATATCATTTTTGGTCAAATAGCAAAATGATTGTAATAGCTTGTGCATGAGCTTTTCCTCTTTCTTAAGTAAGCTCAAGCAAATCAGCTCGAAACGATAATAACTGTTACGCAACAACGAGCGAAATGTCCCACATTTACTTCGGGTTTGAGACTGGAAAATAGAAAAATAGACAAACCTATTCAAAAATGCAACCTATTTTGATTTTACTAGAAAAAAGGGGCGAGGTTATATAAATATTGTATGCCTTCACAGTGTTTAAATAATTCGCTCTAACAATATTGCTACGTTGCATAACCCTTACTTCTAACCAAAGGAAGGGCTTAGCTCAAGTTCAAATAAAGGTCAAATCGCAAATCACGTTTACTTCTAGTTCATTCCCCCGGTTAAATACCCAAATTCATTCCAGTTAATGGTGCAATTAATGAGCATGCGATAACGATACTTACGTAGTTTTTAGGTATTTGGTGAATACCTCACTTGTAACGCCATTTGATGAACAAATTACAGGAGCAACAAGTGCTCAGCAGCAGAAAGTCAGAGAGACATTTACTTCGGTAAAAAGTTTAAAAGCCTAACTTTGCACCACAGGTGATAGTACCAGCAATGGATAACACCTTGATGTTGCAAAAGTATTAGCAATACTGTTTACTTGTAGCAATAATCAAGAGCAGAAAGACTCGCCCAGTAGCCAGAGTTGCATGAGGGAAGAGACAGGTGATAAGACTTACCTGCGTAAAGGTTAGTGAGGATGGAAGGTAACTCAAAGCCGATTTAATAAATGTCTGTAAAATAATTTTGCATATTTTATCCTATCATAACTTATCGATGGGTTTACGATAGTATGTGTTAGAGCCACTTTGGTAAACAAAATGGCGTACTGGATATATTGTGTTTGTTCATGCCTGAATTTTACTCGGGTCGTCTTTTCATACAATTTGTTTAAAAGAATAGGCAGTGACAATATCATAACTCACTTTCTATGGTGTGCTTAATAACTTCAGACATGAAATCTTCCTTGACTTCAACAGTTTGTACGGCATCAGGTGTATCGTCAGGGGCCCATTTAACCTTGAAGGTAAAAAAGTGGGAGTTCAAAGAACGAAAGTCAAGAAAGATAAAGAAACGCCCCAAACATTCTACTACACAACGAAAACAATGTTTGTGAACACAAGAAATATTACAGGAATTTCAAAAAAACTTTTGCAAATCTTTCATGTGTTGAGATCTGCCAAATACCTATTTATAGCCACAGTCGGCTCTTTCCAAATGCTAACCATAACATATTTTGTTTTAATTAGTTGATGTTTTGAATTTTGCCTCTTACCAGTCTGCCTTCATTATCTGTGATACAGACCTAAATTACCAAAAAGATCGGCATGTACCAATTTTGTTCCTTTTGCAGAATGGTTCTAGGGCACATTTTGAACAAAATCAAGCGTATTCTCTTAAACTAACCAAGTCTATAAGAATAGAGGAGCAAAAGTGGGCAAAATAACTACAAGATTCAACCAAAATATACTTGATCTATTAAAGAAAGTCCTACTCAAAACTGATATTAATGGGATGGAAGTAGTAGTTTGTTATAAGGTTGCCGACATAAAATAATTTAGTGTAAATTATTTTTCATAACACTTCAAGCGTTAAAGCAAGGACAATGTGAGAGGTCACTTATTTCAAAACCATTCTGATGAAAGCAAAAGTGACTTTAAATATCTTTTTTGGTGCTGTTTTGTTACATGCAGTAGGGAATTTTAAACTGTACTTCAAATACAGGATATTCCTTAGTTTTCGTCTACAAACAGACCTTCAAATTAGATTAAATCAGGTAAACACTACCACAAATGCGAATGCCAAACATTACCTAAGTTAGCTAAACAAACATCGTGGTAACCATAAAACACCGCATTCGGTAGTTGTTTCCTTTAATACAGCCATGAACTAGTGAAAACTCATTACCAGCTCATTATAGCATTAAATAAGGCCTCAATAAATCCCGAGAGGGACGGGAAAGAAAGTGGAATACATGCATTGTATCTGCATATTATTCCCTTACACTAAAATTTTACATCCTTAGTTCTATGCATTTGATAATTTTACCAGCTTTAGATATGTCTCTTCCGGGTTTGCATTAAAAAAGAAAATAAAGAAAACGAAAGGCCTCTGGGAAAAAGTTGCAATCTTTGGTAAACGTATTCAGAAAAACTATTTATTAACATAGATGATGGGCATAAACTAAATAGACTTGTACCATAACTTGAGAACTGGCCTTAATTTGATTGGAGGAATGGGTGCAACTCCATAAAATCGATCACATTTAATTCCAGCGCCCGTATAATGGAGCAACCAAATATAGCGCATGGTGGAAGAAATGAATGACCCACCCCAGTCTCCTTTATAAACAATTTCCTGGCATAAATTCTCAGCATGGTGAACCATATTAATATATGGTTTGTTTATGAACACTAAATTCAATGTTCATGGGCCAAGGGTTGGGTAGAGGAGGCGGCTGGGAATGAACAGCATTCCGTATTATAAACATACCCTGCGAATATGGGAATTATTAGCTGAGGTTTGGACTCGCAGCACTGCAAACAAGAGAGCGTATCAATGGAGGTGTAATTATTTAATTGACATCCCTCCTACTTTACCAAAATTGTGACTAATAACGGGTATGGCAACAATTTGTCAAAAGTTTACAAAGGGATTTTTCTCCCTATGTTGAAAACTGCTAAGTTTTAAGCGTCAAAAAACGTTATGTTTAAAATTTAAAGATTTGCTGAAATTTTTATGGGAATTTAATATACGATTATTGAAATATCTTCCTCCGAATAAAAGCTATCCGAGCCTAAGTTTCATTCTTTTGTTAGTATAGCTGTCCATGGAACGAAAAAAGTTAGTCATATTACAAACCGAAGAAGTTTTAGATAAAATTCTAAGTGATTTCAAAAAATAATAAAACGACCGGGATTTAAATGCTATATTTAAAGATGTGCTAAGAAACCGGTTTATGCTTGACATAAATTTAAAATTTTCTGATAGATTTAACTTTCAATCTGGGGCCATAAAATGCAGAACGATAGAATTTATGACCAAAACATCCTAAGATTAGTTCCATTACTTTTTGAACTAAGAAATGCATCGAATACAGAAAACGAACACCGAGGATTTAGGAAGAAATTTGGCCAGAGATTCAACAAGGCGATTTCCTCATTCAACGGTCCAAAATGCGGCCTACTCATTTGAATAATTTAAAGTTGCTAACTTTTCTGGTAACATGGAAATTTAAATCAAAATGATCTATTTTGCTTACAATGAAGGTTTGTGGAGGGCCTCCGTTGAATGCCTGCTGCCAGCCGACAGTAAGAGAGGAGGAGGTGGCTCTTATCAAAACAGGATTGCCGGGTCGTCCGGGAGACGTAGTCGGGCCCAGGATCACCTTTCCAACATCCATCCCCATGCTGTTTTTCGCCTGTAGCTCAAACGAGGGGTCGCAGTTTACAGGGCCATTAACAATAAATTTTAGAATCCAACACAATTTTTTATGCAAGTCCTACCTTAAAGTGCATTATTTACTAAATGACAGTACAATCAACTAATTTATTCGTGGCTCTCCTTGAAAACATTTGACCTATCATTACCTATATGCTTTCGTTTTCTTGTCAAGCAAAGTTCCCAAAATCGCCTTTCTTTATGATAATTTGTTTTCACCTACCATGTAAAGCACATGAAAAATTGGATTGAAGATCATCATAAATTGCAATTTATTTAACAAAATCGCAGCTTCAGATTCAATTTCAAATTTCAATTTAAAAAATAACTTTTGAAATTCAGTTGAACACAATGAGCAAGTGAAAATAAAACTTACTTCAAAATGCACATTTTAAAGTAGCTTAGGGACATGATTTATTAGAAGCTCTGCTTTAGAATCATAAGGCGTCAAATGAAGCTGTAAACTGCGATTTTATGGGCTAAGTATAAATTCGGAGGAATCACTGACAGTTGTGAAGATTTTTCCTCACTGATACAGTAGGGCGCCTACACTTTATAACCAAATCCCTTGCCAGTATCAACGAGTAGTCACTCATATTTCGTGGGCTTATACTGAATTTAGACGTGTTTAGCCTTTGAAGTTGCAACGAGTGGTATTTTTATGCATGGTTTGACCATGGAGGGACTTAGACTTTTTTGTTTCTGCATCACTGGCATGCAGACCATCAAAAAACTGCTTAACCCTCTTATGTTTCAGCAGATACTGCAAAAATTTTGCAAGAAGAACTTGTGAAAACCTAAATAACCTCCCGTTTACTCGGTTACATATTTGAACATGGGAAATAAAGTGCTTCTCTTGTATCCTAGGATTCCAAATTGTTATTTAAAAGAGGAGTTTAAAATTATGCACCAACCTGCAATTGTCTAAAATCTAAATATCGATATTTACATATTTATCTCTTGGTTCGATTCAGAATAATTCAACAAAAATCTTGGGGTCATTTTTGCAACAATTGGTTCATTCATGGAAGACCGGCTACTATTTTTATTGTGCAAAATGTTGCGAAATCACTAAATCTTCATGGCAGGGGTACATGATATATGTTTGTTTCGTAGAAGTTCCCAGTCAGCAGATTCATGCACACTTACACCATGCCCATAACTCTAGCTGACGACTAAGGCGCCTTGACTTTAACTGAAGGTAGTTGGCATTAGGGCCCTATAGCAATCGGCGCTTTTATAAATACAAATGTAATACATTAGAGCTTTAAATTTTTAGACCTTCGAGTGAGATAGAGCCATGAGATGGACACATCCATGTACCTGGCAATAGTAGCTACCAAAGTCAACTTGTCGGACAAACTCGATAGTAAGGAGCGCCCGGTAGCGGCCGGCGTGGAGACGCGTGACGGAGGACTTGAACTGCCCACCCTCGACAAGGGTGAGGTTGGCCGGTTCGCGGAACCACGTAACAGTGGGAGCGGGCTCCGCGGCGATCACACAGACCACCGAGGTGGGCGATATCGGAGCGAGTGGCATTAGGTGAGTGTGGTTGAGGCTTGTCTCACTCGGGTCGTGAGGCGGTGCGGCCCGTGACCACCGCACTAACTCCAGCACCCGTGGAGCAACTAGCGCCAGCGAGAGAAAAGATAAAATAACAAATAATTACGAAATATGACATCCTTTGGAGTAGGAGAAACGCGTATATCAGCCTAAGGCTACTCAACTGCTGTAAGCATTAATCTTGATAAGACCATCGGGTGGAAGATATACAAGTTGAATGTGCGGCGCTTCTTAAAACTAAAACCGCTTTGGAATAATTTACACGTACAAATGATTGCAACATAGCTTGCCCAAATCAATCGAATGGAATGTCGAGATCATTAGACCCTTAAAAGTAGATCTCCCAACTCGTTTATCAATTAAGTTAACTCTAAAAAACGTTTTGGAGCAAAATTTTTCTAAATTTAGCATTATTATTTTTTGCCATTGACAAATGCGATGATATTAATATAATCCAAAACGGCAATAGCCCTCATAGTTCCCGGTTATGATCATTAGTTTGTTTAAAACGATTAGCAAGGTCTCAGTTAGCTACAGTTCTCGCGCATAATCGGTCAATAAGTTGAAGATTTGTGATTTTCAGAGCCCATCAAAATCTATTAAGCTGAATTTCTTCTACATTAAAACGCGAAACAGTAAGTTCACTTGCGAGAATTGTTATTGAGAAGTAAATTCAAAATAATAGTAACTCAAATTAATCGACGACAAATTCACATGTTCACAAAGGAAGGCTTTTTGTAAAGACAAAAAGCTAGTTGGAGGAAAAGACTCCATCAGTTTACCGAAATGAAAAGTGAGTCCCTTTGTTATTCTTAGTAATCATTATTATGCAAATAAAATTACTCCTGTGGCGCTTTTTAATGAACCGAAAATGAATTCGTAAAACGTGTCGCTGCATGCAATTCTATCTAGTAACTACAAGTCATCAATCCACCGCCACTACATCTCGTTTTATTCTTGATTTCTTATAAGAGAATTATAATTTTAAAGCAAAATCACCGGCCTTTTTAAAACCTCTTAACAATTATTGATTACTTTCCCGAAACAGTAGTGATAGGCTGTTCAAGGAGAAATATGCACATGCGTTGAAATATGCTTACACTTACAGCGATAAATAAGATCAATCAATCGCACCACAGGGGAACCGATACCATTGTCAACGAAGCACTCATATCGGCCAACGTCACTCGGATCAACATCCCTTATATGAAGGGTGCTTACAAGATGATATGGCTCTGGTGTGAAGCACTTAACGTAGTATTTGATTCGCCCAGCTGCAAATTTCTGAAGCACATAAATTTGGAAAATTAAAACTTTGTCATCGAATTCCAAAGAAACCAAAACTCCTATTGCGTAAGTCAAACTAAAGTGAACCTTAAGAATTAGAATCCTAACATGAGATCTATCCAAACATTACTACTTGACTGGTTCCCAACATCCTGAACTAAATATCACTTCAGTTATCTTTTAGAGAAGCTGTGTTACAGCACTCAATAATCAAATAAGTTTTACCGCAATTATCTCAAATTCTACTCACCTGGTTACATCGGAGCCCAGCTATTGAAGGTTTTTCGTAATGCTTGGGGCCCTGGGAAATGTCACTTCTTGAAGCCGCAAAGTCGGCAATGGTGGAGGAGGTAATCTCCACCATGGGAGTCTCGTCGATCACGCGTCGCCAGTAGACAGAGTTAGCCTTGGGAGGTGGATTGGCTTTCACGCGACACACGAGTTCGGCCTCCTTGCCTTTCGTCGTGGCGTTTACCAAGGGCTCTCCTACCAAACGCGGTGCATCTGCAGCCAAATTAACGGGTGTCAATATTTATTATTCAATTAAATCAAAGGAGTAATACGAACTAACGGCTTCCAATTGCATGGTCTACATCCTAGAACTTGGAAGTCAGGGCACTTAAAGTACACGCTTAAAAAATAATCCCTAATAAAATGCACAAATAACGAGCAATTTCCTCGGTAGTGGCACTTAAAATTATATGTATGTCAAAGGTAGATGTGCTTCCCCAATTTAGCCAAAAAACTGTTTTCACTCCTATTAGTATTGGTTGAGGAGCTTAAACTCCTCTCAATATGTGGGCAAATTTTCGCCAGACCTGAAACCTTCAAGTGTGGCTTTGATTTTCTTTGAGGCAGAATGCATGAAATATTTTGAGCATCGCTGTTTAGTTCATTAATCGGTTTCTGTTTCCGGAATGATGTAGTAACAGGTTTAACTTCTGATTAAAAGCGGCAGTCCTATCCGCACATTTATAAATAAAAGAATAGTCCATATGAATCTTAATTTAAACTCTTCCACCTACTGACCTATAGAAAATTGAACTTTGCGAGCTTTGGTTTTAAGCACGTATATTTTACGACAGTCTTGTAGTAATTATCATTAACGCAAGGGTCAAATTAATCAACAGCAACAAGGCGAACACAAAAGTTCAGGCAGAGCTTAAGGAAATAAATGCTCAATGGATTTCTGTTGATCGTTTGAATACGTCCATAGTAAAAATACTGCAGATATAACCTCTATTTTTAAACGTAGTTCAAGTCATAGTGTTCCGGTAAAAAATGGAAAGTTGCTACAGAAACAAGTGGTGGATAAAATTGGGTCTACCGTTTAAAAAACATAGGAGGTGAATTGAAAACTAAAGGGACTCTGATTATTTGCTTAAAAGCAGAAGTGATTTGAGCACATTTAGCGCCCTCTTTGAAGTGAAAATAACTACATGGTCATGTAGCAGTTTTGATTTATTTTGCATTCGTAGTAGGAAGAGGAGGATGGGAAAATATCTCAATCACTGAATCCTCGGTGGGCTCATCCTCCACAGTCTGGCTAAATGCTCGAATGATCCGCGGGACAGAAAGGCATGTCTAAAGGTGGGTCACGCAACTCTACAATCATCCCTAAAAGTCAGGCAAATTTACAAGGAAATGCTAGGAATATCTATACAAATGGTTAAAGCATAACCCTTCAGCGATTTCACCAATTATTGCCATTTGACCTAAAAGGTGCTTTTAGATTAGTAATTCGGTAAAGACGAAGAATAAAATGTTGTTTATCGGATGAATAATAAAATTAAAGTACTCTGGAAGATTTATGAGTGCATCATCAGACCATAAACCAATTTTACCTTATGAAATACCACATATATATCATTTATTCAAAGCAGATATAAGTGAAGTAAAGGGCCTGGGATTCGCCTATTTGTACCCATAGTGAAGCTAAGATAGATATAGCATGCCATCACTTCAGCTGTGCCTTCTAAGACACTTGCTCATCTTTAATCCTTAAAACTTTCACTTATTGAAAATTAAGAAATCAACCCCATTTGAACGTCTTACATGGGGTGTAATGTTAACGAGTATGTAACCTGAAATCGCTGTGAATTTATGAAATTGTACAAAACAACGGACACTGAAGATGATTGCACAAGTTATGACAAATTTTGTAAACTTTGCTGACTTTTGCATTTATCCATAGAAAGCACCTCTTGCAGTTATGACGCTAAATCCCTATTTGCATTTAGTGCATTAAAACTATAAACGGCTTGTTAGTCTTTTAAGTTATTACAAAATTGGTCCTTCAAACATCAGGTAAATGAATAAATTCAACTTTGTGAAAGCATTACTATTCTGCATGCAGGTGCAAAACAATTGTTTTTGCAGAAGCCAGATCAAAAAATTGGTTTTTTTTTTCTAAAAACTGCAACAGGCAACATCTTGAGTTCCATTTTGTAACCGATGCTTTGAAGATAATGACCAATGGCTCATAATTTGGGCTGTGGGAGTCGGTAAAACTCGCTGGGGTGCTATCGCTTTCCACTAATGCAATAGGCGGGCGCACTGACAGCCTTAGCTTGGAGGGTTCGTGTAACTCAGTTAAGTGAACAGCTACGAATTCTTCAAAATTCTTTCAAAGTAAACAATAGCTTGGTGCCTCTCCTTTCCTCCAGGTTTTATTGTTATATGGATAATCCAGGCGTAGGAAGAAAAGCTTGAAGCCGCAGTTCTATCCGAAGGAAGGGGGCTTATCACCTTATCTTACAAAAACTTGTCGCCTTCCTATTTTTCAACGAGCGTGTTTTACCTCGCATGTCTCTTGGTGCAACTGTTTAATTGCATAAAATAATTCATTTAGAAAGTGGAGTTTACGAAAATAATAAGACGATTGGAGATTCTTTTACTCAAGGTTGTTTTATGTTCAACGACCAATTCATACGTTAACAAAACGTCCCCATTTTTGGGAAATTAGGCCATTTACCTTCTTTTCGCATTTTCAATGCGTGAATTGTGTCTATTTTCGAAAATGGCACTTTTTCTTACTAGATTTTCGTCTTAGTCATTCCATCACTTAATCAGGGTAGATTGAAGACAAATTACCTCACTTTTTTGTTTAGATTGTAGAAATTTATAGGCTTAAACTTGTGAACCCGTCTTAAGCTTTTTTTGAGATAAAAGGCTAATGCCTATGTTGATTCGTTCAGCTACCATTAGCTTTAATTTTTTTCTTTTCGTAAGCCTTTTAAGTGCTACTTGCAAAATTCGATTTAGTGGCTTCAAAACACTGCGAGAACTTCAGTCTTACGAAAGAAATTTCTAATTTTGCCTAAATATCGTACAAAGTGTTACAGTTCCTGAGCTTAATATTATTCACCTAAGAAAACCTTAAGCTTAAAGTGACCAACAGTAACCCGGCTTTGAATTTTCATCCTCCTCATCGCTAAAGATATTTGCAACCCTGGTTGATATTTCCATAGTAAGACACTAAAGTTTACATCGTAGAAACCTGAACTTGCTCGTTTTGCTCCTTACTCGCAGCATTTGAAAAGCATCAGCACTTTGTGCTCCCGCTACATTTCTCTTCATTAGCCGATGCCATGTGGGGATGGCTTTTATATGTACTAGCAATTCTCCCGCCCTCAAAGCCATTTAAGGAGACAAATGCCCGTGTACTTCAAAAGTGTGCTCGGTGCAATTGTAGGTACGCTTCGGACTGAGGCAATGGCGTCTTTATCTTCTTCGCTCTTCTGCTGAGGTTGCAGCTGGCATAAACCCTTTATGCCCTTACCGACACATAATCAGTTTATGTCAATAAGTATCCAAAATTAGACTCATTAAATGCAGTTGCTTTTTGCACGACCGTATTATAGCTGTTGACCTAAAATGTAAGGAGACTTACGCGTTACGTTAAGAAAAAAGACAAGATCGGCACTGCCAATAGAATTAATGCCGATAATTTTGTAGCTTCCCATGTGCTCAACTCCGACCCGCGACAGTTGCAGTCGAGCTGGAGCGCCCGCTCCAGACGATACCTCCTCCGTAATCTCCACCCACGGGCCAAGGGTTTGGGGTTCAAACTTCCCATGGAACCACTTTGCAGAGGTGATTGGAGGGTTACTAACGGGCGCAAGATCCAAGTTTAAACTGGCACCTATGGACAGTGTAAAAGTTATAAGATTATCACAGTCATTTAAAATCGTGCCACTAACTACTATTGATTTCAGATGCCATAATAAATTACCCTATTTCTTTCGGGTCCAATACAAACCACTTTACGCATTCAGTTCGCTCTCGAAGTGCCTCACTTAAAGAAATCCGAAACAATGTCTTTTATTAATGCAGTTTCTTGCGAAGCAAATTGACTTTGTTGTCCATAGTTTGCAAAACTTATCCGTTGTCTACAAAGGGGTCAGCAATTCATCAGCATTGAAATGGACTTTTTTATTTATTTACACCTTCTCTGGCACGGGCACAAGCTTGCACAGGCGAAAATGAGACTACAAATACTACCTAGTGTACAACAATGAAGTCTTGAGTAGTGCTCTACGCTAATTTAATTTAGCATGAATTTGTTCTTTTTTTCTATTGTTCGAAACAGGAGCAATTCTTTATGCAATGCAGTTAAAGGTTGTTTTGTGGTGTTATAAAGGCTTTTAAAAGCATTAAAAGCAAAAAAAGAGATTTTAATAGAAATATTAGTTTTACCAAGTAATTAATTCTGTTGCCGTAACGGGAAAAAAGTTAGCAATTTAAAACAAAAGACTTTTATTTTCTGTCACATCAAAGACAACTGCGGAGGGATTTAGTAGGCTCTGTTTACAAAAATGTCGTTATTGTGCAGCTCATGTATTTGCAAGAAGCCGATAAGTCCATGGCCGAGTTTTTGGAGTTTAGGGAATTTTTACGTACTGATTTATCACAAAGATTTGTTCAGTGTTAGCACCACGCTGTCATAAAAAAAGTTATTTTCAAAATAGAGACATGAATGAAAAGGTAAATGATAGGCCATTTGAAAGAAGCAGAGCATATGCCACCCTATCTCATTCGACCATCGACGCCAAGTCAATGCCTCATCTGCACAAAGCCGGCCATGCTTCACACTCTCAAGTACTTATCTTGATACTCTCCCTACGAGCATTTATAACGCACCCTTTAATCTCCAGAGTTCGTGGATTTCAGGTCCGATAAACCAAAAATCGCAATAACAACTATAAATTAGGCCGTAATGAAATTAGTCAAAATTAGCGTAACCATTCGAAATGATGTTATCTCCGCAATCACATTAAGCATTTTTCTTTTCTGGTGCGATTAGTGTTAACACATACGGATATTTCGGTTACATGATGGTTCTGATGTCTCGAAGTTCATATGACGCCTTAGCATGCGTTAGGGTACTAAAGTAATTAGTATATTTAATGCAGTGAAAGGATCCTTAGAAAATACTGAATAGTTTAACCTAAAAATAAAATTAAATCAGATGAACTGACTGGAAAATTTTGAATCAACGTATTTAATCAATTGATTCAACGGAGGTCTTCCACTATTTTATGACGACAAAAAGGGGTTGAATGCTAAAGTGGGCTGTTTTTGGAC